AATTCCTCATAGTTTTTCTACCATTTGTTGCCTGTTTTGTCATTACAGACATCAATAAACCGATATATAGATAAGGAGTAAAGACTGTGACTCATATGGTGGTTATTTATGTGAATGACATGTTACAGACCCTTTACTATCACTGCTCCTCAGTTTCCTATATGTGAAAAATTTATTGCTTAATAATCAAGGATTTGTGTTTTGGGGCACATCTATATATATTAAAAAAATCATTTATCTCTAAAGGCTGTAAGCCTTGGGAAATAGTGGTCCAACTGCAGGAGGACAGTTATCTCTCTAAGAGACAGCAGTATTCTCCAGAGCTCTGATGAAATGAGCCGTATTTAGCCTCTTACTTGAGGGGAGGTTTCCCCGAGTCTGACTGAAAAGATAAGACTTCTTTGTATTTACTTCTGTGTCTTATGATGAAGGTGTTTGAACTCTAACTAGCCACACAGGAGAGCTGTTACTGCCAGCTGGTTATACAGAGTGTAAGCTGATCTGCCACAATATCTTATTGTCCCACATAGACAATATCAAATAACGAGACACATAAATTTCTACTGTACTTAGCGTTTGACAGGACTTTTAAAATAAAGACATCATCACAATAGTTCACGAGATTTGTACTTCCATGGTGGACTTAGTTTCACATTCCCACTAGGTCATCAGCCGTTTATCTTTTTTCCTATTCTCTTTCTGCCATTTTTTTCCAGGCCCTAGGGAGTAAAACTCTAGGAACCGACCAGATTAACAAATTAAAGGTGCTTTTCATGTGGTCAGGTAAGCCCTAGAGCCCTTCCTCATGCTTCAGAATACTGGAGAGTGAAAAGCAGGACTATAACACGAAGACATTTAATCAGCTGAGCTGTATATAAACTAACTGTATCTTTGGTGACCTACAGACCAGTCTTGCTAATTAGACATGAATTGTCTTTGTGCCAAAATAGTCTGATTTAGAAGATACCTCATTACATTTGAGTGAAAAAATATTTTAGGAATCATAGTATTAACACTTCTGCACATCATACAACGGATGTATTAAAGTACAGTGACAGCATGCTATTTTGGAGAGAGAGGTATTTTGGGTACACAAGATATAAGTAAAACCAGATGCACTTCTTCTGGACTAGGAAAACAGAGTAAAGAATTTAATAGCAAAAAGTAAAGTAGTTGTGAAGACTAATAATACTACGTAGAGTAGGAGTTATATCCTGTAGTCCCTTTCACGGTTAATTGTCTCACAAAGTAATGTCAAGTCTTACACTCCTCTCTTTAATATTTTTCTCAAAAGTCCGACACTTTGGTTACGTCTACTGGGAAGCATCTCTGCCACAAGGTGAAGCTCCTTGTGTACCATCAATAGATCATCTTAAAAATGTTCCACATACCAGCACTGAGTTTATGGTATGCCTTGAGAATCTCCGTTTGGTTTTTCTTGGTTTCTATTATTATCTGCTCTATGCGATTTTTTCCAAACTACTGTCAGTGTTGCTCTGCCAAAACACGTATAGAGGGTTATGGAGAGGGAAAGAATGTGCATTGCCTGGAGGACATAAAACTGCACAAAGTTACCATCATCTACTTGCTTGCACTGCCCCCTGACCTGCTTTGTATCACCAGTGACACCTGCAGTAAGAGCAGCAGCTATGGGTTATTTTATTGAACACATCAACACTTCAGTTACTTTTCCTTAAATGATAGCTTCTTAATATGCTTGAGAAAAGCAATACTGATTTAATCACATCAGTTTCAAACTTAGAATGTGCATCTTACACCTTGCTGAAATGGTTTTTCTTTTTTTTTTTCCCTTTACCCAGATCACCCAGAAAGATACTATGATCTGGAAAGAAAAACATAGGTCCACATCATGAACATACAACTCTTTGTTTCATCAGGCCATCCTAAACAGATTCAGACCACTCCAAGTTACATTAGACTTATGTGAGTTATTTAAGACAGTTGAAAAAAATCTTGACTAGTGTTTTGAGAGCCATCTGGTTTTCTAGAAAAGATCCATCACATCTGTTCCATAATAGTGTCTTTCGGAATGTATCTTACCTGAAATTATCAATGATGTATTTTTCTTTGCTTTAGTAGAGTAACAAAGCCTGAAGTTTGATTTCAGGCTTCCTTTTGAACCTCAGAAAAATCTGAGCTATAAGACTGGTCATCTTTCCAGCAGGCTCTTTAGGTGTGTCACTTTACATTCCAAAAGTGACATTTTTAAGTCTCAGGGATGAAATAACGCCTGCATCAGCTGCACCAGAGAAAGTATTCTTACTGTCTAGCATTTATTTAAATGGTTGTTGATTGACCACTCCAGTACATTTTTCCTAGACTTTAGAAATCATGTTTGGGTATAGCAATGGTGGGCATAGAAAAGCAATGTTATAAGCAGTGTTCTAGACATATACTCTTTCTTTTGTTGCTTTTAGATCAACATTTCTCTGTTTAAGTCAATGCTTCACAGTTTTTATGGATAGTACCTTATCATATCAAAATGTGTATCAGTTGGAGAATACATTACAGTAATAAGTAGAACAGAAGTGCATGACAAGGTTCAGCAAGGACAAATCTAAGGCCTTGCACCTGGGAAAACATAATCCAGGAGTGCAGCACGGGCTGGGATCTACCCAGGTGGGGAGCAGCTCTGTGGAAAGGGACCTGGGAGTCCTGGTGGACAAGCAGCTCTGTGTGAGCAACCAGCATGCGGCTGCGGCAAGGAAAGCCAACAGGATGCTGGGTTGCATCAACAAGGCCATCACTAGCAGAGATAAAGGAGTCATTATCCCACTGTACTCAGGGCTTGTCAGGCCACACCTGGAATACTGTGCACGGGAAAATATTCAATTGAAGTAAAATTAGACAGCATTTCACAGAAGTCAATGCAACTATATTGATAAAAGATTAGAGCTTTGGACCCAGCTTGTCCACCCTGAAATTCACGTATTGTACCTGTGGATACCATGAAGATACATTCATGAATATCTGCCTTCTTCAGATCACAGTTGAGAATGTGACTGTCCTCTCCATGACCAAAAAGGTTAAAGAGCATATTAAAACCAAAATCTCAAAATCACTCTACGCATAAGCTACTGAATGGTGCTTCATCAGAAATGGGAATGATGCACTTAGGGATAACTTAGGTTTCTTCTCCTAAAGTGTGAATGTATGAAGCAAGCCAGAAACAGTTTTATGACTTCAGCAACAGCATTGTCTTCCTGATTAATTTTTTGGCATCACCCATGGTCTGCATTTGTATTTTCTTGTCATGCTTAAATTGGATTTTCTCAACTCCTGTTTATCCAGGAATTAATCTTGAACAGGGAGAAAAGTCTGTAATAGAAAGCCTGCAGCTGTGCACCTAGCCTACAGAAAAAAGTGCAAAAGCCACAGTAAGCAGTTCCATCTGCTAGAAACTAGAGTGCAGATTGCTTTGTTAGGCTATTCCACTAAAAACAGTTTGTGTATTCCCACACGGTGCATTTTGTGGGAGTCTCATACATGAAATTACAATTCCTTATACAATATTTTTCTCTTCTCTTTTTGTAGTCAAAAAGGCAATTAACTTAATTATGTCAAGGAGAAATTTAACTATAAATGAGCCTGTAATTCTAATCTATCTGTGACAGTGATACTGGATACAGGCAGTTATTGCCACTTGCTAGACATTACTGGTTAACTTTGTACTTGAAATAAATTCTATTAGATAAAAAGTTAAGACACAAGTAAGCTGTGTAAATTTATTTTCAGTGTGGCAGTCTGTTATCGAAGCCCTTTTTTTTCCTGGGAGAAGACCAAATGCATTTTCAGAAATGCTACACTCTGCATACACAGAGAAATCTATGCACGTGCAGTGTGCCCCATCACCTGGCTGGGAAGGAGGTGTCGTATACACTCTACCACAAGAATGAAATCTATGGCCCACCTATTTTTTCATGGTGGGCACTGCAGTTATAGTAAAGTGACAGTGCTGCATTATAGAAAACTAAGGGAAAACATGCAGATAACGTTTTGAATCAAATTTGTACAATATTCATATAGCTCTTCTTTCATGATTAGAATGTAATCTTATTTAATTTCTTATGGTTATAAGCAAAACCAGCTAAAACCCTAAAGATGAACCAAGCAAAAAAGACAACCAAAACCTAAGACTAGATAAATGAGGCTAATTTGGAACTGGGGAGCAATATGTCAGTTACTGAATCTCTAGATTTTGTCTTTCCATTATAACTGAAGGTCTTAGATGTATTTTGTACAACACAATTATGAAGTAATTGTTGAACTTGTACTTTAACAGTACCTCCTTTAAAAACAGAAACCCATTCATTCACAAAGAAGTAATTCTTTTGTCTTCTATATCTTCTAAGTATTATTGTCCATCCAGGTAAACAGTATGAAGGAAGTTGTCTGAAGTTGCAGAATGAGTCAATGGCAAACGTAGAAGCGGAATTGGTCGTATCTTATTATTGCTATGCCTCCTGCCATTATTTTTTTCAACTTAGGCTCCTTGGACTGGGACAAAAAGAACAAAAATAAGCACCGCATAGTTGGCATATTACAGGAAAACATAATTACTGTGGCCCATCACCCTGAAAAAATGCACAAAATTCTAAAGAGAAGAACAATTATTATGAACTCCTGTTTGGAGATCTTGCTTTTCTACAGTCTGTAATGTTTAGCACCTGTTCAAGAAGCTTCTTCTATAAATAACCATTTTCTGTTTCATACAAAACTTACATTGAAAATTATCTTGGTGCAGCTGTTCAGTTTTTCTACAATTGTAAATTGCCAAAAAAGGAACAGTAATTCCTTGGGGGCCTGAGTTAAATCCTGTTTATTTAACACAGTACTGTGTGGTGGAGCTGTGATCGAAGTCGAACTATTATTGCTAGCTGTTCTTACATTTGCTAAAACTGAGAACTGAAAAGACCTTTGTAGATGATCCACACTCCTACAATTTCTGTGGCATTCAGATTCCAGAATTACTGACCCTGATGGCTCACTGCCCCAAAAATGAATACTTTGATAATTTGCTGCTCTCTTGTAAGCCTTGTCATCTTCGATGTTCTAGTACACCACCACCTTCATGTGAGAACTACTGCGATAAGAGTAAGTAGTATTTCTGCAATACTTTGTGGCAATGCTGGGCATTTTCATCTTGTATTTTACATAGAATTGTAAACACAAAAAACTTAAAAAAATCTGAAACCTGGAAAGATATATGCAGCATGTCCTGTATGAGTATGTGTGTTAAGAAGAGTAAATTTTTAAAGCTCTTGTGTTTTACTTGAGCTGTCACTCAACAGAAATTGCTTTTTTGATATAGAACAAGTTTTATGTGTTATTTTAGTTTATTGGTTATTGTTTACAATTGATTTAATGCATCTCTTTTATTTCACAAGGTATTGATTCAAGTGGAGTTCTTTGGATGTGTTTGGGCTTAGGAGTAGTTTTAATGCTCACTCTGTTTACCTTAATGGTGGTGTTTAAATGGAAGCACCTAAAGCAACTAAAAGAAAAACTGAAAAACACAGGTGAATAAATAAGATTCTTTATGAAATAGTTTTAGATCACTGTACGTTTTAGCTACTTTTACCATGGATAAATTTTGCATGTAATTTATATTCCAGATTCTGATAAATGTCCTTGTTGGATTGTTTTGCATTCTGCAAATAGTCTTAATGAAATTATTAAAGAGTAAAATATCCAGGTGATAACTTGTGAAAGCAGCAATCTCTCTTTGTTGATTCATGTCAAGATTGGGTTTTTTGCATATTCATACCTGTCTTACTCGCTTGTGTTTAAGAAATCATTTATGAGCCCTAAGTAGCAAAAGATCTTTGTAAGGGTTTCATCCTCTTCTCATTGAATGCAGAAGGAATTCTACTCAGGTAGAGGATACACATTCAATACTAGCTTTCCATCTTATAAGACATTAAATAATTTTACTTACTATTCTAGCCTGTGAGAAGTCTGTGTGATATATTTTGGGAAGGGAAAAAATAGTTATTTTTACATTTTACAAATACTAGTGCTTGTGTTCAGCTAATAAAAAAATAACATCTGATTAGAAAATATGTTAGATTACTTAGATGCTTATCCTGAGGCATAGGGGGTATACTGTCATAGAACAAAACACTGTCATATCTAACTACATCTTCAAACTTTCACTGTATCTTCAAGCTTTCGCTAAGGTTAGGAACATAGTCGGAACATAATGAAATTTGCATCTTTAATAACTGGATGTCTTGTATAGCATGATGTATGTAAAAAATTAACTTCTGTATATTTACAGACTCTTCTGTGGAGATGAATAATATCCTCCAGGATAATACTGAAGGCAGTGTCAATACAGAAGGAATTAGACACTCACTGCAAAGTGAAACATTAATGTATTCAGTGGAAGAATGCACTTGCAGTGACTGTGGCTTGGTAAAACCTCAGACTGGCTGTGAAACTTCATTTCCATTACCAGCTACAGAAGAAGGAGCTACTGTTCTAGTTACCACAAAATCTTTTGATTATTGCAACTATATTCTGGGTGCTGGATGACTGTGAGAAAAGTGGTTTTTTACTGCATAATATTCCAGTGTAGCTATTAATCTCAACAGAGTCGGTGGAGAAGGTTAGTACATCATCCTTATAGATCTTCCATTGAGATTTCATTAATGCTGTCGTATTATTTCTAATTCTAGTATCTCTTTGGTCAAGTATTTCTACATTATTCTAGGGTACTAAACGAGTTACTAGGGGCTTTCAAAAATTAAAAGTTCCATGTAGGATGGCTTTTTCTGCCTTTAGAGATTGTGTCTACTTACACCAGATATATATAAAACCATCAATAAACCAGTTTACAAATATATGGTTTATATAACTCAGATCTTGAGCCAAAAATTGCTTGATGGTACACAAGGAATGTTCCAAGAGACAGAAATGGAGTCCCACATTACATCCCCAGTCATGTAAGAAATAATTCCAAATAGCCCCTGTGATGCTTGAAACAGGAATGTGCTAATGATGAAAACCTTTGTAGAGTATGAAGTGTCCCCCAGTTCAGATAGTATCTCTGGGTCACATTAAGGGAGGCTGTGGTGCTGTAGAGCACATACCTGCAATACATACCTTTGGTCAGCTGGGGTCAGCTGTCTTGGCTATGTACCTTCCCAGCTTGTTGTTCCTCCCCGCCCAACCCCCCAGCCTCCTGGCTGGCAGGGCAGTATCAGAAACTGAAAAGTCCTTGACTTATTGTAAACACTGCTTAGCAACATCATCAGTGTCTTATCAACATTAAACTCATACTAAATCAAAAACACAGCACTATACCCGCCACTAGGAAGAAAATTAGTTCTATCCCAGCCAAAACCAGGACAAATCCCAATGTATTTCCTGATGGTGCAGACTTTCCTTTAAGTCCTAAACATTTTTGTGACTGTATTCTATAAAGATTTCTGTTTTACTGATTTGTTTACTTACCTTTGTTGTATGTACAAGGACTGTTAATTAGATATTGTATGTACAAGGACTGCTGATTAGATATAGTCATGCTACGCTGTGTGCCTTAAAATCAGGTATATACTCCTGTCATCTTGCCTCCCAGGCATTAATCTTATTTTCCTAACATTAGGCCAGTTTTATTCCTGGAAAACTGCAACAACAGAAGCAACAACAATCTTTTTGCTGATAACTTTCTATTTCAGGTTGTTGAATGAATGACTAAAACATTTTATGACTAGTAAATTATTGCACAAAACCTATGAATGATTACAGCATGTTTAGAAGGCTGACCATCAGGTTTGGGCCAGTTATGAGTTGTGTAGGGCTAGCCACACATAGCCAACACCTCTGAAACAGGTGTACAGAGCTATTGAACTTATTGCTGTTGCGTTATCTAGGAACTCTCAAAAAAAGCCCACTTTATGCTGTGAGGAGCTACAGTATAACCGTGTGGCAAACACACAGCACTGTACTGCGACAGTGCTCAAACACCATTCAGTAAGATGATGCCTCATAACGAACTCACAGTATTGAAGAAACTTACTTCATTACTTTGCCATTTTTTTATTGTTTCACAATTTCTGTACCGATTTTTTTGAAACATGAACCGTTCAGGACTTTTAGCTTACACAGCACGCGTGGCAGCATATCCGGTTTATCTCCCTTTTCCTCGTCTTTCATTTTCCCGGTGTTTCTTCGCTTCCCCGCAGAACTGCTGTTCGGGGTAGACCGCCAGGTTTTCTGTGGAGGGCTCGCCACAGGATTTCCCGCCGGGGCTGAGCACGGCGCGTTACCGCGCCCCCTCAGGGACTCCCCTCAGGGACCACCCTCCGGAGGGCGCGAACAGCTTGGCGCCTTTTTCCCAGGAGCCCGCGCTCGACGCCCGTGAGGGAGGACGACAGGGTGGGCAGTCCCGGGACCATGCTACTGGCACACAGCCTCCACCACACGCCACGACCGCGGCTCCGGCGCCGAGCGGCGTTTACCTTCCGGGGCGGCGGGACGGAGTT